AAAACATAATTCTTGTTAAAGTCAAAGGAGTAAATTTTAACAGTGAGTGTATGTTAGTCTATTTTTCTATCTAAGAAACGCTTAATGAATAATTTGTGTCTGTGTGTTATTCTCTCCCTACCTGTGTAGCTTTTTTCTCTCTGGAGATTCTAAATGTCTCTGTTTTTTTATTATTCACAATAGTTAATTTGCCTTCACTAAATATATCTATCTCTCAACTATATTCTCCTAAGTAAAAATCCTGGAGGCCTTTCTCTTTGAACTTTCTGATCTGTTCTAATTTGTATCAGTTGCTCTTTAGGTCTGCTTGCCAGCTATCTTCCCTTTTATTAGACCTCTGGATTGGACTGTTACTTTGGTGGTGCAGGGACTAAGGAAAGTGGGTGGGGTGACAGGTGTTTGAACCTGCTAAATAACCTTTACAGAAGGATGTGTGGGAAGTAAACTTTCCCCTTTTGCATCCTGAAAAATAATTGTTACTTTGTTTTCATTCTTGATTGCTGTTTTTCACCAGATACAGAGTTCTGTGTTCAGTATTCCATTTCTTCCAAATTTTCAGGCATTGGCAGGCATTGCTTAATGAGAAAGTGAATAACTGATTTTTACTCCTTTCTAAATTACCTCCTCTTGTTCACCCAAGAACTTTTGTTTAAACTTTGATATTTGTTGGATGCTTTCATTTTAGGTAGTACTTACATATCAGGGAAAGGATAGAAAAGATTTCCACAGATTAAGGCAAGAAATACATGGACTGGTATGAAATATAAAACATGGATTAGATTTCAAAAGCCATAGAACCATAATTCAGGTACAGAGTCACTGATTTCCTAACATATAGAGAAGTAGTGCAAAAAAGTCAGGGAGGAGTAATGGTCATTGTCTCATTGGAGGCCATGTTGACTAGGCTGTTGTGCATTCAAAATACATATCCAGGAGCAGCCATATTTGCTCTCCTATTACTTGTATTACAGCTTAATGATCATAATTCTTAGCTCCTAATTCCTACTATCTCCCAGCAACAGGATAAAACCTCATCCAACCTACATGAAGCTGCTTCAGACTGTGTGTGCTCAGCTCTGTATGCCATTGAGAACGTCGAGACTAACTTACCATTAGCCATGCAACTGTTTCAAGGGGTCCTCACGTTGGAGACTGCCTATCATATGGCTGTGGCACGAGAAGATTTAGACAAGTGGGTATTTACAGTGGTGGCCCTGTGTTCATACCCAGTTTGGTATTCTTTTTTTTTTTTTTTTTTTTTTTTTTCAGTTTGGTATTCTTTTAAGTCACTTTATTAATGTATCTTTTGTAACTCTAAATATACAAACTGTCATAAAAATACTCTGATTATACTTGTTCTTGCTCACATTTAATTTTTTATTTGACTTTAGTGATATACAATACAATATTCATTTATTTCTCTCTGTTGCTCCTACTTTACTTACTGAAAGAGAGGGCACTTTTGTAGCCTTTTAGCTTGTAGGCCACTTAAGTGAGGGGGAAGGGAAAGGTTAATTGTTCTTAAGGCTTTAATTAAATTTAGGGATTCCTTTCTTAGAGCAGCTTGTACTGTCAGAGGTTGCATGTACCGAATGATATTGTAGCAGTTGTTAAAACCTGCCAAATGGTCTCATGTCCATGGTGCAAGTTAAGTGAGGATAGCTGTAGCTGCGCCCATCTCCACAGGCAGGACTGAGTCTCAGAAATTCCTTCCAGATGAAGTACTTGGCCCAGGTCATGCATGGGCCCTTTCCAGGCTCAGGAGTAGCATCCTCAGGAGTAGTGTAGTGAAGTGAACACATTCTGAAAAGTAGTCCTCAGTCTCGAATTTTCCAGCCAGGACTTTCTCAGCAACAAGTCTCGCTGAGGAATAGAATCACAGAGATGGTGTGCAGCCATCTGTTGTTCCAGATGCTCTTGTAGAGGTCCAGGGCCTCCTGCTTAGTCTGGTTGTCCTTCCTGGTGACCATGTTATAGCTGCTGCTGGCCACCACAAAGGTGATGGCAGTTACGTTATTGAAACATTGAATCCGTTTACACCATTCATCATGCCAACTGCCCATAAGGAACTTGTAGAAATTGATTGTATCTACCTGGAACTTAGTCCCAGAGATTCCAGAAGTCAGGATGCAGCAGTGGAGCAGAGCCTCGCTCCTGGGCATTTAGTCAACCTGATTAATGATACCAGTCTTGTCCAAGAAATACTGGGCATAGTCAGCTGGTACTCCTTGGAGTGATTGTAGTAGCCTCACAGATTGTTCCACAGGGCTGTGGCATGCTCTAGACTTCAGGAGGGAAGTCACAGTCAGGAATGTTGTTCACACTCGGGGGGGATGTAGTCCACTCTAAACAGGTCCTCAGGGTTTGCCAGCTCCACTGGGGGCACCAATAGCTCATGGTGGCCACGATGGTTTCAGTAGCCTCCTTCAGGTGCTTTTTGATGCCCTGCGCTTTGGTTGCCTTCCCAGCACCATTGCTGTTGCTCCTTGCAGCCTGTGGGTGCTCTTCACTGCCCTCTCCGTTAAACCCATAAACATGCAGGATCCTTATTTGATTTATGATGGTGCTTTTGCCATATCTCCAGCCCCTCCTCTGACTGCTCTACAAGTGAGGATAGCTGGTATGGAACCGCTGGCTTTCTGGGAGCAGTTGGCTTTGGGCACAGAGGCATGTGTGCATGTGCTGACGGCTCAAGAGTTCCAGGAATCTGGAGGTGGCAGCCAGGACTGGTGCACAGCATGATGGGTGGGGTTTGGGTGGCTGGGGGGAATCTTGTATCTAGATCCCATAACTCTAATTTGGCAGCGTGGATACTCTGATGGTGTCATCTGGACCTAAAGTGGCAAATTGGATGCAACAAGGAGAGTCTGTAATCATAGAATGTAGTAATTTTTGCACTTTAAAAGGTAAGGCTCTATGAATTAGGGATGAGCGTAGAATTATCAACTGTGATTTGATGGGAATCATATTAAAATGCTCTAGTAATTGAGAATTTTGACTGATTGAGGAATCATTTGCTTATGTGTAAAAGAGTATATACTATAAGGAAAGGTGGCTGTCGTAGAGATTGTTACTCAGAGTAAATACCACATACCCCGTAGGCTGTGGAGTCTTTAACAGTGTCAGTGGTGCGTACATATAATCAGATTTCTGATTTGGTGTGCTCATTCTTTTTTTGTCTACAGAGTTCTAAATTACTGCCGTATTTTCACTGAACTATGTGAAACTTTTCTTGAGAAAATTGTTTGTACTCCAGGCCAAGGTCTTGGGGACCTACGAACTTTGGAACTGCTGCTGATCTGTGCAGGACATCCTCAGTATGAGGTAGTGTTCACTTTCTGCTAAAACCCTTGTTCTCCACATCACACATTATATTTTAGTGCCCACTCTCCAGCCTTTTATTTGTGGGAATTAATCTTATTTTTAATGTATGTAATGAGGGCTTCCTCCGTTGACACTTTTAAACGTTTTCATTGGACTTCTGCTTTGATTTCTTTTTCTTAGCTGGTTTGCTGGGTTGCCCAGTGTACTCAAAGAGTGCTTTAGAAAGAAAGCCTATTTTCTTTCTACTAAGCCCCCTCTCTAGCTTCATTTAATCTCTGGAACTAGTGCTTAAAAAGAACCATTGAATCTTAACTGTAGCTCAAGACTTAACATTTAAAATTTTCCTCCAAATTAATGATGGAAATTAGAAAGGAAGCATTTGAAAGGCTTTTAAAAATCTCCATTCCAGAATCTCTTAAGATAACCTGTCTTTTATGTTAGTTAGATTTAAAAAAAAAAACTCTTCATTTATTTAAGACATTTTAATTCATACTAACACTTAATAATCATAAAAGTGAGAAAGAATTCCCCGTTCCCAGAGAAATAATTTCTAGCATATTTGGTGTTTTATTTTGTTATTATTTTTTTAATTTTATTTTTAGTGGGCAAGACAGAAAGTGTCCGCTGTGCCATGTGGGTTAGCTCCCTGGTTGGGGATCAAACTCATGCCCATGTACCACCATCACGAAGGCCCCATATTTGATGTTGTTTTAGATAACTCTTATTTTGGGATCCCTCTTCGAATGGGAGCATAGTAGTCCTGATTCTTAACCCTTGGTCTGTTATCATACAAAAGATAATTGGTTTTACACAATCTCACGTGGCTGGCTAGATTTGGATGAAACTCTGAACATTTTGGGGAGGATGTGTAGCAATGACTACTAATCATTCCTTCAAACAGTGCCATAGATAAGCCATTGACAAAAGCCCATGCTTTTTCTTCTTTTCTTCCTTTCTTCCCTCATTCAGGAAAGCAGGTGGATAAAAGTGACATGGTTTCTCAATTTGAGGAAAATAGCTCTAAAAGGAAGTGCTCTAAATTCAGAATTCAGTATCCTGTTGGACAAACTCCCTTATGTTTAAATAAAAAATGTAGGGCCTCCCTGGTGGTGCAAGGGGTTAAAGTGTATCATTGTCAAGCAATCCACAGTCACTGAAGCACCAGTTTGTTTGATCCCCTGCCAGGGAGCTGACCCACATGGGGCAGCAGATCTCTCCTGTCTCACCCGCTGCTCCCCTCAGCAGTGTACTTCGTCAATCTGCCTGTTCTGCTACCCACTCTGTCTCTGGTGAATCCTCTCAAGCCCTGCACCTCTGACCTGAGCTCCAGTTTTTGTATGTATAAATAGTAAATCTTTAAAACACACACACACACGAAATGTAAATCCAGCTATCCTAAATGGATTGTTGGGCCTAATGTAGAAAGATAACTTGAAGGATAATAACAGATGTTCTAGAGAAAAGGTGGTTTCTTAACTGGTTCCTCTCATTTTATGTAAAAGTGTATCTGCTTTCATTTATTGCCCTCATAATAATAAAACTGTCTTCTTACTTTGTTACTTTTCTGCAGATAGACCTTTTTTTTTTTTCTTTTAATTTGACAGGTAGTAGAAATTTCCTTTAACTTTTGGTACCGACTAGGGGAGCACTTGTACAAAACTAATGATGAAGTCATTCACGGTATCTTCAAAGCTTACATTCAGAGGCTACTTCATGCCTTGGCTCGACACTGCCAGCTGGAACCAGACCATGTAAGTTCCTATCCCCTGATCGAAGGTTATGCAGAAGCTAAAAATCATGACTATTGAAATATCAGTATATGGTAAGCTAAGTAAAAAATCCAAATGTAAAATTTTATACTATTCAGTTTATAATAAGGTAACAAAGGTGGTTGGATTGAACACAAGAGTGAACTATTTATGGGAGGGTGAACTTTATATATTTATACATTATATATTTACACATTTTCCACATACACATTTACATTTGATTTATAATTTAAAAGGAAATATAGAAACAGTTTATTTGGTAGAAAGTATACTAGAAATAGAAAAGTTCAGGGGCCTCCCAGGTGGCACAAGTGGTTAAATCACAGCACTATAAAGATATCCATAGTCACTGCAGCAGGAGTTCAATACCTGGCCCGAGAGGTGATCCACATGGCGTGGCAGACCTCTTCTGCCTTTGCTTCAGCAGTGTGTTTCAGTTGATCTGCGTCTTTTGCTCCCCACTCTGCCTGTGGTGAATCATCTCATTGGCCCTGTACCCCAGTTCAGTATGCATAAATAAATACATCTTTTTAAAAAAAAAAGGAAGTTGAACTATTGATGGGCAATTCTAAGTTGTACCAGGGCTTTTCCCTATATGTTCATTGTCCTTATACTTACCCTTAACCATCTCACAATTGGTCAGCCAATTGTTGTAATAGGAAAAATTTAAGAAGCACAAAATAGAGTCTTTATTTTTAATGAAAAAGATAGGTTTGAAAGATTTCAAATACAGGAAATGTGAAATACCTCTTTAATAATTGTATGTATTCCTCCCAGTTAAATAATCTAACCTTAATATTTTACTATACTTGTTTTATGTATCTATTCACCTACATAAAATTTCTATAAAGTGTCTAAATTTCTATTCTATCATAATTCTACTGATAACATAATGACTAATTTTTGGTAGCTTCTTGAACCATAAAGGATCAGAGGCTTATTCAGGACTAAAAAACTGGACTGTATCCAGACAGGCTCATAAACCCTTAAGTTGTCACCTCTTTCAGGTCTTTTCCAATCCCTACCTCTTCAGATTTCCAACAATATGGCAAAATATAGCCTGGAAAAGAAAAAAGTGAAATTTCTCACAGTAAAGGTAGAAAGGATAAGTCATACTGATGTGATGAACTTCAAATTTTGGAAGCTCTTTATGGAAATAACCCTTTTAATTTAGGCAGCTTGGGCTTCCCTCCTGGTGCAGGGGTCAAATACACAGTGCTCACAAGCTATCGCCAGCCACTGCAACAGGTTGCTGCATCACATGACATAGCAGAAAGTCTTGCCCACTGCTCCCCTCAGCAGTGTGTTTCAGGTGATATGCCTGTTGTGCTCCACACTATGTCTCTGGTGAATCCTCTCACTCCTCCTACCTCCCTCCCCCGCCACATACGCACCTCTGGCCTGCATCTCAGTTCTTGTATACATAAAATAAATTTTTTTAAAAAATAATAATTTAGGCAGATCATCTTTTGTTCATTTCGGTCAGACTGTTCAATGATCTTATTTAAAACTTTTAATTTTATAAAGGTCAATGAAAATCTTAATGAGTTTAAAACAAGTGTTTTCTGATTTGAAATTTTAGGAAGGGGTTCCTGAAGAAACTGATGACTTCGGGGAGTTCCGAATGAGGGTATCAGACCTGGTGAAAGACTTGATTTTCTTAATTGGGTCTATGGAGTGTTTTGCTCAGGTAAGGCCATTTGGAGATTATTACTGGTTTTACGAGCCCCTTTAGTTGTGTCTTATATAAATATTTTCATCTTTTTCTTCAAGCTCAGTGACTCAATGGGACAACGGTTGTGCAGATGCCTAGCACACTGCCTGGCATATAGTCGCTGTGTTTATTACTTAGTGTCGGCCAAGCCACCTGCAGTCATAGATGACTCCATCCTGGTCTGCTCTGTCACTCTGGCTGCTCCACTTGCCCAGCTGGAATAGAAGATCATAGATAAATCTTAGAGTGTCAGGATACTTACAGGGGATTCGAACCTAAGCATGAAAAATAGGGACATATTTCAGCTTTAATAATTATGGACTAGCTCCCAGCTACTTTTAGTTATTTGGCATTTCCTTTATCCACACTTATGGTTAGATTCCTATGCAGTGTCATCCCAGAGGTGACTGTACTAGACTCATAGGCCTGTGTTCCCCGACAATCAGTAACACTTCATATCATAAGGTTGTGATCATCACCATTCCACATCACTTAACAGCGTAATTTGAGGTGGTTTTCATATCACTAGGTTGTGGGCCAATCTGTGAAGAATTGATTTTGTTACTTTGTCAGCAATACTGAACTAACCTTTTTTTCTTTTTCTTTTCTTTTTGTTATTGTAACCTAGAGCGTTTGTACATTTGGGGGTAAAATCTGTTGTTATTAAGTACTCATGAAGTTATGGCTTTTATATATTTATTTATACACACACACACACACACACACCCATAAAAAGCAAAGCAAAGTATACTGGCCTACCTTTAGAGGGCTGGAGATTCTTAGAAAGCAGATTCAGTGATAGATAGATGACTAGTGCTCAGACCAACTCTTTTCTCACTTGTTCATCTCTAGACCTCAGTTAACAGATTTACATACATTATCAGTATTATCCTTTGAGCACCATTCCCTCCCATAATACATTCTTGGGGGAGGAGTAAGGCTCTGTCATCAATTAAAAATGGGAAATGGGGGCCCTCCCTGGTGATGGAATGGATTAAAGCACTATAAAGCTATCAAAGCTACTGCAGCATGAGTTCAATCCCCAGCCAGGGAAGTTACCCACATGGCACAGCAGACCTCTCCTGACCTGCCTGTCTGTACATCTGCCTGTTCTGCTCCCCACTACACCTGGTGAATCCCCTCACCCCCTGCACCTCTGCCTGTACTCCAGTTCTGAATGCATAAATAAATAAACCTTTTTTTTTTTTTTAAAGGGAAATGACTTAAATAGTGTATTAAAAGGCACTAGTCAGTAGTCATCATCCACAGTAGATATGCTCTTGGAAATCTCTGGACTTGGCATCTCCAGATAATTCTGTCTGGACTTCTGTTTTTGAAACCTTCACTTTGATATATTTTGATAGGTGTTTCTGAACAGCTACTTTTTAGGAATATAATCTACATTATTTATGTTGACACAGACAGGCATATAAGCCAATGGAAATATAAACCATTGATACAGAGATTTACTTTATATCTCAATTTTAAGTATGTTTATCAGTTATTTTCAGGACCAGGAAAAGACATTCATGTAATCTGTTTTGTTTTTTCCACTAATAATCAGTTTGTGGGGACAGATGATAATCTTGTTGTACACTTAGGGACCTAAATGGCTTTATTTTACATATTAAAATAGTAGTTACTTGAAGTTAGTGAAGATATGAAAAATTAAAATAATATCCTCCTCTGGCTCTGAGTTAATTAGATTTAGAAACAAGGCTGGGGTTAACTAACAGGGTTTTTTTTTGTTTGTTTTTTTTTCATTTTGTTTGTTTGGGAATTATGTTTTCCATTTAATGGATCCGTAATCCACCTCTTCTCCTCTAGTTATATTCTACCCTGAAGGAAGGCAACCCGCCATGGGAGGTGACAGAAGCGGTTCTCTTTATCATGGCTGCTATAGCAAAGAGTGTGGATCCGTGAGTGTCTAATAAGTCTTTTGCTGAGAACTCTTAAATATCAACAAAAGGAAAATTAGGCCATTTTCCTCATCTACGATGTTTAGAAACTTAACAACCTCTTATTTCTATAATGTTGTCCAGTCATCTGACTTTCAGAACCTAGTCCAGAGTAGCATGCATTGCTGACATTCATGTTTTAGCCACATTTTGTAGAGTTAAAATTATTTTGCTCTTGATATGGAGAAAAGAATGCGGATTTCTTTTCTAGTTGTTTAGCATAACAATCCTATTTATGATCTTAATACAAATCTACAAAAATAGAACTTACTTTTGCTATGAATTTATAACTGTTACTGGTGCTGGTTACATTTTCGTGGATGGCTATCTGATCCATTTGAATTCTGTGCAGGGCCTTGATTGGAGAGGTAGTTGGGCATGTGTTTGTAAATAGTACTGGACTTCTTTCTTAGTTGCTTTGAGATCTAGTCAATGAAATCTTTCACTATTTTGAATACAGTAAGTATTCAGAGATAGATTTGATTTTCTTTATTAATAAGTACTGCTCCTGAATTACATACCATGCGATTTACTCTTAAACTGCTTTGGTAACTTTTGGAGCCTTCAGTGGCATTCTGAAGACTGTTAAAATTGCTAATATTCTAACCCATTTGCTGGTTTAAAAAAAAGCTGTATAGAGCCTTTCAATAATTATCTTAGTGCCTCCAGGAAATACAAGTTATAAATGAGAGGAGATTTTCTTTTTTTTTTTTTATCTACATTTCAAGCTAAGAATATGATTATGAATTTTCAAGAGCATGGTTATGAATTTACAGTACATATAAAGGACTTATTAGACTCATTTCACAGGTAGGAAGTGTTCTTCCTGTAATCTGAAATGAGATTTACATTTTTCATTTCTGAATTATGTTCTACCACTTTGGGGACATCCTTCACTTTTCTCAAAGAAATTTTGCCAGTGTACTTGGGGAAGTGAAAAAAAAAGTGAAGGGGAAAACATTAAGGCTTTAGAAAGTATTTAGCTAATTTAATTTTCCTTCGTGTCTGAGGTCTGGGCACCTTTCCTTTATCTCTGTAACTTCTGTTTGTGCCTTTAGTTAGTGAGCTGGCCCATCATATTCTTGAAATTTGCAATATTTTGCTGTAAGAAATCTTTGGAGAATAATTGTTAAAGAACGTGGTCCGTGGGAATCATTCATTCAGCCATACAGCAGTATTTGTTGGGTGCCCACTATGTGCCAGGCACTGTCCTACGTACTGCAGAGAGAGGAATACACAGATTCAGTAATTGCTACCTCTCCAGTATTGAGGGCCATATTTAATAGCAGAATGTGTCTTTAGACACTTTATTGGCATTCAGAAAACTGAGGAGAAGTATGCTTCTTCTGAAACAAAGATGTCTTCCCTTTTATTTAAGGATTTAACAAACTTTCTGGTCAGGTGCTCAGCACTTTTATCCAAATGGTTATTCATATGTAAAAAAATCCTTCAGTAATATTTGTGTCATTGCAGTCTTTAATTTGGCCAGACCATAGCCTTTGAAATCAGTAACTCTGGACATTTGTCTTCTGCACTCAGGGAGAACAATCCAACACTTGTGGAGGTCCTAGAAGGAGTTGTTCGACTTCCAGAGACTGTACATACAGCTGTACGATACACCAGCATTGAATTGGTTGGAGAGATGAGTGAAGTGGTTGATCGAAATCCTCAGTTCCTTGGTATGTGTTCCCTCTATAGCTGTTATTCATTTTTCTGATTTTCTTTTTCTCTCATAATTTTGCTCTGGCTTTCCTGCTTTCTTTTTTGACAGAATATTTCTAGGCCCTGAGAGTAGTAGTTTACTGTGAGTTATTTATTTGACATAACATTTATAATGTGTAGAGACTTTGGAGAAAAGACTTTTGAAAGATTAGCTCTCCAGATAGTGAAAGTTTGCTTTTAGAACTTTGTTTCAGCATGAATATTTTTGTCTTTGTTAGTCTTTGGCATGTACTTGAGCTAATCAAGGTATCTTGTAGTTGTGACCTGAAAGCTACTAATAGAATAAAGAAAGAAAGACTTTTCAGTGTTATATATATACTCTATTTAACAAGTAAGGTTTGTCATTTGAAGCTAAATAAGTACAAATTAAAATGAAGAGTGTTGGGTTATGTAACCTCTCCTCTTACTGACTTGAACAAATAATTAAAGATCATATAAAATAACTGAAATAGAAAGTGAGGTTAGAAACTTATAACCCCCTAATTTTGCAAATAAACTAATGAAATCCAAAGAGGTCAAATTATTTATCTAGGGTAATAGTATATTAAGCTTCTTGACTTTGAGGAGTGATTATATGCTAGGAATTTTAGGAATTCCCAAATTTGTGGATAGTGCTATTAAAGTTGAGGTGTTTCCTGTGCTTTTCTTATTAACATCTTTTGACTTGATTTTATTTTACATGTGATCTTATTCCTGTACACGAAACACATGATAGACATGCTCACTTCATAGTTGATCCACTTTCTAGTTCAATATAACATTAAAATTTTTTTTTCAAAATGCTGTTTTTCTGAATCTTAGATTTATTCACTTCCATTAACTGGTACAGCATTTGTTTTCTTTTTAGAACCATTTCCCACACAAACAGAATGGGTTCGATTTATTTGTTGTTAAACCTTATGATTCAGTACCACTTTGCAGTCTCATTCAAATTTGTGCTTCAGCAATTACACAAATTGCTACATGCCCATACTTAGAATAGTCAAAACCACAAATATTCAATTTGATAATCATAAAAGTTTATGGTATCGGAGGTCCCTGGAGTGAGTTCTGGATTATAGATTATCTAATTCCTTAGGCTAAACAGATTTTTTTTGTGGAAGGGCCAGAGAATTAGTTAATATTAGACTAGCAATGAGGTCAACTTTTTTAAATGGGCATTAACACATTGTGCTTTTGATTGCCTCAGTTCTTTTCTGGCTCTCTACAAGGTTACTTACTGTGTGAGTTTTCTTAGAGCTTTTCCATAGACAGGCATTTTGTTTTTATAAAGGAAGGTTGGAGATAAGTAGAATTTGTCTCATGGAAAGTCACCTTTATAATATCATACATTTTCTTGAAACACATTTGGCAAAAGTAGAAACATAATTAATTCATCTAGAAGTGCTGAGGATTCACCAGCATGTTTTTAAGGCCTTTTGTAAGTGCAAGAAGCAAGTATAAAAGTGTTAGTTTTAGATAACTTTAATTGTTCTGATTAGTAATGTATGCTGTTTTTACCAAATGATTCATTTATGAGGATAATGGTAACTCTCTGAGCTTTACATCCTTTCTTACATTGACTCTGTTCTTCATGCTTGGATGGTGATACCTGTCACTGGGTTTCAAACTGTGTTTCATGAAGTCCTAGCAACAACCAGCAGCTGATTGCCATAAGGAAAGAAATAGAAGATGAATAGTGTTACTGTTAGTGAGATCAACTCCATTTTTTATATGCTGGGATTTGAACATTTGTTTTTTTATAACACATTTCATTTTAAGAAAATGTTTCTTTTGCTTACACCAAGTAAAAATGCAGACTTCTAACAAACTATACATTTTCTTTGAGTTTTCAAATGTTTAATTTCTATGGTTTTTCCCCCCCCCAGACCCGGTGTTAGGCTATTTGATGAAAGGTCTGTGTGAAAAGCCTCTGGCTTCTGCTGCAGCCAAAGCCATTCATAACATTTGCTCTGTTTGCCGAGATCACATGGCTCAGCACTTTAATGGACTCTTGGAGATTGCCCGTTCCCTTGATTCCTTCATGTTGTCTCCAGAAGCTGCTGTGGGCTTGCTTAAAGGTATTTGTTTAGGATGTTTGCCAACAATAGTCTTCTTTAATCCATTTCTTTGAATTAACCTACCCCAGCCACATCCATTTTCAGTTGACTTTGTAATGGGAAGGATGACTTTTTCTCTCAGAAAGAAGGGTACCGATTATGTGTCTGTACATTCTTTTCTTAGAATATTCTTTTTTTTTTTTT